GGGGGTCCACCTATTGACAGGGACAGTGCAATGCAGTCACGCAGCCCCCTGTCCCCTCCCCTCCCACTCCTTCCTTCCCTCCCCCCCACCGTTGTGACATGCCCCGGCTGCATTCTGGCTGCAAGCGCCAGCAGTGTAACCTGAAATTTTAGAATTTTTTTTTAAATAAAAAATTGCACTGGGCTGCATTATGAGCTGACCTGGGCCGCATGTGGCCCTCGGGCCGCGGGTTGGACAAGCCTGGTTTAGATCTTACCTGACTAGCCCAGTGGTTTTTCCTACTTTCTTCAGTTTAAGCTTGAATTTTGTTATAAGAAGGTGATGATCAGAGCCACAATCAGCTCCAGGTCTTGTTTTTGCTGACTGTATAGAGCTTCTCCATCTTTGGCTGTAGAGAATATAATGAATCTGATTTCAGTATTGCCCATCTGGTGATGTCCATGTGCAGAGTCGCCTCTTGTGTTGTTGGAAAAGAGTGTTTGTGATGACCAGCTTGTTCCCTTGACAAAACTCTATTAGCCTTTGCCCTGCTTTGTTCTGAACTCCAAGACCAAACTTTCCTGTTGTTCCTTTTATCTCTTGACTCCCTACTTTAGCATTCCAATCCCCTATAATGTCAAAAACATCTTTCTTTGGTGTCAGTTCGGGAAGGTGTTGTAATTCTTCATAGAACTGGTCAATTTCAGCCTCTTCAGCATTGGGGGTTGATGCATAAACTTGGATTACTGTGATGTTGAAATGTCTGCCTTGAATTTGTATTGAAATCATTCTATCATTTTTGAGATTGTATCACAGTACAGCTTTTCCCACTCTTTTGTTGACTACGAGGGCTACTCCATTTCTTCTACGGGACTCTTGCCCACAATAGTAGATATGATAATCGTCTGACTTGAATTCCCCCCTTCCCCTTCATTTTAGTTCACTGACGCCTAGTATTTATTTATTTATTTGATTTATACCCCGCCTATCTGGTCTACTGGACCGCTCTAGGTGGCTTCCAGTATAGTCAGTCTTTATTCTTGCCATCTCATGTTAGACCACATCCAGCTTACCAAGCTTCATAGGTCTTACATTCCGGGTTCCTATGCAGTAAGGCAGCTTACATTCCCATCACTTATAAAGCCCTAAACGGTTTGGGACCTCAATATTTGGCAGATCGTCTTCTCCCACCCAGATCTACCCGGATCACCCGATATAGCCAGCAGGGGCGGCTGAGGGGTCTGACGCCG